ACGAGTTTTATAAAAATTATATGTTAGAAAGCAGAAATTTCGAATTTTTCGAGTGTAATAAAAAATGCAAAGCATTTCCATTTTTTTTCTTTTTCTCTCTCTCTCTCTCTCCCCCCCCCCCTCTCTCTGTGTCTCTGAAACGTGATCTAAATATCGACAACTATATAGCTTCTTATATAAACGAAAATATAATTGAAAATATAATGCAGTACATAAACTCAAAAATTTGTAGATGTTTATTAACATTCAATATAATGCGATTATTAAAATTATCATATTTTACACTTATATTATCGCAGTGTTTGCAAATACTTTCAACAAATTAAATAGTTTGTTGACGATTTAAAAATATTTCACAAACTGCAAAGTTTCAACGGTACTAATAAAAAAATAAACCGATGATACATGAAACAGAAGATTTCCATAATAATTATATTTTTTTATTAAATTTGCATTTTCTTATTAGGAGTATAAATAAGTTTCCGCCGTTTTTTATTAAAAATTGGGCATTTATTGTGAAAGAACGGTACCTAATGTTTTATTCGAAGTATTGTCCATCGCTAGCCACTACTTTTTTCCATCTTTCTGGCAGCATACGGATACCGCGTCAGAAAAACGCTTCATCTTTTGAAGCTATCCACGAATCGACCCAATTTTTGGTATCTTCATATGATGTGAAGTGTTGCTCAGACAGGCCATGCGCCATCGATCGAAACAGGTAGTAATCAGAAGGAGCAATGTCTGGTGAATACGGCGGGTGGGGTAAAACTTCCCAATTGAGTGTTTCCAAGTAGGTTTTGACCGGCGCCGCAACATGTGGACGAGCATTATCATGCAGAAGAATAACTTTGTCGTGTCTGGAGTAGTAGTGGGCGCGTTTTTCCTTGAGTGCTCGGCTCAATCTCATCAATTGTGTTCGGTAGAGAGCCCCAGTAATGGTTTCGTTCGGTTTGAGCAACTCATAATAAACGACACCTAGCTGATCCCACCAAATACACAACATGAGCTTTTTCCCATGAATGTTCGGCTTGGCTGTCGATGTTGAAGCATGGCCAGGTGGTCCCCATGATTTCTTCTTCTTTGGGTTATCGTAGTGGATCCATTTTTCATCACCAGTGACTACACGGTGCAAAAAACCCTTTCGTTTATGCCTGGCAAGCAGCATTTCACATGTGAAAAATCGGCGTTCAACGTTTCTCGGCTTCAGTTCATATGGAACCCAATTTCCTTGCTTTTGAATCATTCCCAACGATTTTAAGCGATGTGAAATTGCTGGTTGAGTCACTCCTAATGTAAGTGCAAGTGCTTCTTGCGTTTGACACGAATCTCCATCCAATAATGCTTCCAATTCCACGTCTTCGTACACTTTCGGCCTTCCGCTACGTTCTTTGTCTTCGACGTCAAATTCACCGTTCTTAAACTTTTGAAACCACTCACGGCAACTTCTCTCACTTAAGGCAGCCTCACATATGCTTCTACAAGCAATCGATGCGCCTCAGCTGCAGATTTCTTCAAATTAAAGAAGTAAATCAAAAGCTCCCGCAAATGATGCTTATTTGGCTCAAAACTCGATATTTTCGCACGAAAAAAGATATAAGATGCTGATGCAAAATCGCTAATATTTCAAGGTTATGTTCTTGCCAGATGTCCAACCTTACAATATGACGTTTTACAGCTGACAATTTTAACTATAAAATACTAGTAGCGCCATTGTTTGTCAAACGGCGGAAACTTATTTATACTCCCAATAAATTTCTTTATTAGCATATTTAATTGGATTATATTATGTTAACTAAGAACATTTTGAAGATGAATATACAAGACTCTATCTTGTATATTTATCAAGTAAAAATCTTGAAAAATGTTTTCCAAATTTCTTTCATTTTTAAGGCACAAAAAATATATATCACACATAACATATTTACTTGTAAATTTGAATATTTTGCCAGCTGATTTCTCCTTCTTCATTAAAATATCTACAAAATTTATCTCGAATATTAGCTGCACGCAAGGAATACGCTTTTGCTGGAATAGACTTAACGTTCATAAATGAACATTCTTTAACAGTTTTTCTCCAAGAACCTTCTTCAATGTCTCCTTTTGCTGTAGGCCGATCTATAAGTTCTTGTGTAACGTAAGATTCTCGTGCAACGTCGTGTTTTCTTAATTAATTATGAAGACAGATTGCTTGAATCATTTTGATAATATTTGAAATGTTTGCTAAAATTGTTCTTTGAAGTCGCCATTGGCTAGCTAAAATGCTGAACAAATTTTCTACTATTCTTCGAGCTCGAGATAAATGATAATTATAAATGTGTTTCTCTAATGTCATTATACATTTTTGCCTGGATATGATCGCATCATATACTCAGTTAACGGGGATGCCTCGTCTTCTATCAATATATAGGGCAGAATTAAACCATCTTCATATAATGGTTCAGGTGGTGGGAGATTAAATTTTTTTCTCTCTAATAATTGTCCTATGATACTATTTTTCAAAATATTTACATCACCTTGCCTTCCAGGAGTATCAATATTAACATAGCGTAGTTAGCATCACACACTGCAAGTAAAATAATGCTGTGACTCCCTTCATAATTATAATATTCTGATCCAGCATTGTTAGGACACTGAAAAAAAAATCAGGTTATGTTAAAATAGTTTGGGAGTTATTATATTGTGTGTATATATATATTTAGTAATTACTTGAATGACAACATATTTGCCATCAATCGCATCAACGCAGTGAGAAAAGTTCCACTTTTCTGCAAAATCGTTTGAAATTTCTTTCCAGTCTTCTTCATCACATTTTGGAAGTACGAGAGAAAATAAACGTTTCCGTATAGCTATATATGTTTCACGTATAATGTTCGAAATACTACTCAAAGATATTAGATATTGATATGATAGAGATGTCATACTATCTCCTGAAGCAAGATACCTATACAATTTAATAAAATAAAATTTAATTTATTAATGTGTACATTTGTAAAGTCCTTATAACAGAGTCTAAAGACTGCATACTGAATTCATAATTAACAGTCAAAACCGAAAACGTACCACCGTTTTTGTTGCGCAATTTAAACAATTGCTTGCTGCCATAAGCAACAATAGAGTTTAATACGAATCATTATAGTTTGTTCGCGTCGCATGCCCTAACATGCTTCTACCATAGCTCCTACTTACTTCAATGCGCTCACTAGAGTAAGTAGGAGCTATGGTAGGAGCATTTGACATGAACAAATCTTCTATATTTGCAATCAAATATCCTTATTCTTGAATGTATGTATACCTTAAAGTCAATATCAAACGTTGCTCTTTATTTCTTAGTTCACGTACAACATATTGCTTTTTTAAATCGTTTCCTATTGATAGCAATTCTTCAAATTGTATTGTAGTTAGTCGTGTATAATTTTTAAATCAGTAATCTTCCAACCTTACAGTAGAAAGTATTACATGGTAAAACCATATTCCTTTCTTTTTTTAAATATTTCAGCTATTCAAAACCTCTTTCTCCTTTTCTTAGTCCTTAATTTTTTTGCATTTACCATTATTATAGAGAGATATGCAAATAACTCAGCTTTTCTTCGTTTGCGATATTCTTGTTGAATGATGTGACAGCATTTCAAAAACCATTAATAATAAAAATTATTAATTGACATTTTTGTCAGGCTGTAGTTAAAACAAAACGCATTTTAAACCATCCAAATGTGTACATACCTGACTATGAGATAAACACAAAAATAGGTTCGTATAAAGCTACATATTTATTAAAAATACATATAAAGAACTGGAAAGGATACGGACAGTAGGAGTCAAACGCAGAAGGCAAATAATATATCTATGAAATTTCTTTATTCACTAAAACGCGCTTACGTGTTTCGGCTCACTTTTGAGCCCTCCTCAGAGACAACACAAATTAACATAAATAAACTGTGAATAAAAATTATCTTATCATGGTGAGCTCCCCTACCTCGAGAATTTAAACGCCAAAAAGAGTGGAAAAAAAACAAAAGAAAAATGAACGAAACAAAGGAAATAGTGGAAATATCGAAATAGAGAATATGAAAAACTAATTTATCAAAACCTTAAGATTATAATTAATCATCTTGAAAATAAGAACGCCCTGTTCACAAATCACAAATCACTGTATCGCGAACATTACTATAAATCATTCAAAAACCGGTTCTCGATATTTTAGCCAGTCAGTATCAGGCACAGTGAGCCACTTTCAGTTTTAGCTAGTATTATTGAAGCTTATAAATGAAAAATTTTGCATTGGAACGTTAATCAATTCCATAAAAATGAAAGTTGGAAAGTAATCAAAAATCACACCAGAAAAACTCATCCTTACTGCGTACCAACGAGTCAGTCAGTGTCGTTATTCAATCAGTGTCGATTATATACAGAATTGCTATTTTTATATGCGATATTTGTTCAAGAATAGGACCCTTGGGCCTTAATTTTCAATCAGTTCACCCTTTCCAGATTTTCTATTGGAAGATATGATCCAGTACGGTATACGAGCAACTATTCATGCAGAGATTCATCCATTCGGTAAATTTAGGTCATGTGACCAGCAGATAAGAAAGCAGAGGATGTGCTATCCACTGCATAAACGAATGCATAGTCTCTTGTTAGAAGGACAGCAGACTAGTGTCCTTAGAATACAGAATCCGGGAATCGACCCCTAAAAATGGTGGACACATCTGCGTATTTCTGTCAACAAAAAGAGAATAAGTCCGGCACAGAGGTTATAAAGAGCATAAGTAAGTAAAATAATATTATAATAAATACAAAATACCGAAATTATACAGTGAGAAAAATGCACATAAAATTCACGTTCTAACAAAAAATTAATGTGTTATAAATATAGAAAGTAGAGAATAGTAGTATGAATAATATTTATGAGTATAAAAGTATATATACACAATGCCATACTGTTGCGTAATAAAATGTTCCAATTCATGGAAGACAGGTAATACAATGCATTATCTTCTCAAAAACTGTGAAAGACTTGTGTGGTGATTGGTTCCGTCATTTTGGAGAAGTCTGATTTCTGATTCAATAAAAAGAGAACGCCAGACTCTGTATTCTAGAAACAAGCAAAACTAGCAAACAACGTCGCCACTTTTAATTTGCCATGTCAACGTTATGTATAGAGTATGTCACAGCGTATTACATGGCCGATGCTTTCTCATAGTTTTAATCGCAGAAATTATTTGCAATTGTTAAAAAATTTTTTATTAAAAAATCAAAAAGGTAAAATTATTGAGGGAGCATTGCCTCCTCCTCGCCTAATAAAATTATTTTACCCGACCCGTAGTCGGCGCTTATGTGACTGAGACAGAACATTAATGTAAGAACATTAATGTAAGAAATGAATAAAGGTGTCACTGTTATTGACTTCTTCTTATTTGGAATTTAAAAAATCTGTACTATCGACATCGATTAAATTCGGCCATCACTCCAGCCCCTTAATTAAAAAATAATAATGATCTATAATACTATTTATTTTATTTACTACAATATATTTAATTTTTGTAACTATTATTACGACTATTAAATTTTAATTACTTTTAATTATCTTCAATTGGAACAGTATAACATTTATTATAATTTCACTATAAATTTATCTAAAATACATTTACATAAAACTAAATTATAAAATGGTTTCTTTTTCTGCTTTCCAAGATAACTATATGCTAAAGAATTAGAAAAAATTAAACTCGTTATTTTGTTCACAACTTCATCAACATTTTTTCCTCCTCGATAATATAACTTAGTCACCTGTAATAATCATTAAACATGAAGCAGTAAGCACATTTTATATCATTTTATTTATAAAACTAATAATGTTAGAATATATATTATATAAAATGATATTTATATGATAAAATAATGAACCATTCAGGTCATGTTCGTATATTACTGCCAATTGACTACAAGTACTGAAAATCTGTAGTGTACGTAACAGGAACTATAAATTTTCAGTACTTCATGTCAATGATAGTCAACTGATAGTAATATATAATTTACATGAATATGATAAATGTATATGTATCAATTAAAAGACTTAATATGTATTGGGTTGTTCGGAAAGTAATTTCGTTTTTTCCCAACAGAGGACTTATTGTATTTTTTCACAGCCAACTTCACACTTAAGCCGCATAATCATTATATATTTTGACAGCTGATACAGCAAGGCTTGCTTGTGAAAAAAGTTCGATTGATTCTACACAGTAGGTTTTGGTTGGTGCCCTATCAAATATGAAAGTGAAAAGCAGCATTTTCGGCATATTTTACTTTTTTACTATCGAAAAGGTAAAAATGCTGTTCAAGCAAGAAAAAATTATCCGATGTGTATGAAGAAGATGTATTGACAGAACGCCAAAACTGGTTTGCAAAATTTCGATCTGGCAATTTTGATGTTGAAGATGCACCACGTTCTGGAAAGCTAGTTGAAGCTGATGAAGACACAATAAAGGCATTAATTGATGCAAACCGGCGAATAAAAACTCGTGAGATCGCTGAGAGATTAAATTTATCGAATTCGACCGTTCATGATCATTTGAAACGCATCTGATTGAAAATCGTCTTTCATTTTCATAAGAAAAAACGAAATTACTTTCCGAACAACCTAATATTTTATATTGGAGTAATGTTAACATTTAGTTAGTTTTAACATTTTATAGCCATATGTGTGTGTATAATTTTGTGATATCTTAATTAATGTCTTAAGTTATCTTAATAATATCTTAATAATGACGTCTTAAATAGATATCGTTATTAATTATTATAATATATACTCGTAATATGTCACTCTATTCCTTAATACGTTATATTGTCATAATATTACTGTGATAAATTACAGCAATATAAATAACAAAAATATAAGGAGTCTTCGTATATAAAATAAATAACAATAAAAGGGCGAAGTAAGAATCAGCGCATTCCTTAAAAAGACATGTACTTAAAGACATAAATTAAAAGTACAGAAAAGGTAAAAAATGAAGAAAAGATGTATACTAAGAAATAATAACGGTGAAAGGTAAACATTACAAGTTTCGGCTACCGGATTGAGCCCTCTTCAGATGTTACTTACGGTTTCATTACGGTTGTCAATTTATTTAAGTTTACTTTTTTCACAAGAGATCTTTTTCTTTTTTCTTTTTTTATCAACTAGAACTTGGCTATGAGACAGGACACTTTTTTTTGACTGTTCAATCATACGAATAATGTCGAGTTCTACGACGAGACTCAACCGAACTGTGTGTATTCTTAATCTGCGAACTTTTGCGACAATTATTTTTTAATTCTGTTTCCATTATGTTAACATCTGAAGAGGGCTCAATCCGGTAGCCTTGTAATGTTTACCTCTTTCACCGTTATTATTTCTTAGTATATATCTTTTCTTCATTTTTTACCTTTTCTGTACTTTTAATTTACGTCTTTAATTACATGTCTTTTTAAGGAATGCGCTGACTCTTACTTCGCCCTTCATTTGTTGTTATTTATTTTACAATAGCAATATCTTGTGACATCACAAAAAATATCGTGATATTTCAATGTTATTTATCAATATGTAATATATCAGTAATATTTCTGTGATATTATACTGTATTATGTAATATTTCTGATATATTGCAATATTGCGATATTATTATGATATTACATGATATATGGGAATTAATAACGCTTTTGTGATGTTTTATAATGTTAAAGAAGTATTAAGATGTTATTAAAGTATCACAAAATTATATGTACACGCACATAATTTTATGAGTGATATTTAGTTTATTATAACATTTTCAGTGTATAATATTATTATATAATAGTTATTTTGTGTATTGACAATCAATATTATTTCCTAATTAATATTGTGTATACAAGGTGTCTCAGAAATAGGGTAGTCGCATTGGGAGCGTAGAATGGGTCAAGGGGAACAAAAAAGTTTCATCATTTTGAGATATTCGCTGTAATTTTCGAATTAAAAAAGGAAACGTATCAGCCAATGTGCCCTCGACGGCGGCGGCGACGACGCGCCGCCGAGAGTGAGGCGCAATGGGCCGTGCTACGAATTCGCGCGGCGCGCTTCACCGCACATTGGCTTATACGTTTCCTTTTTTAATTCGAAACTTATAACGAATATCTTAAAATAATGTCAGACTTTTTTGTTAAAAGCAATATACATAAATATAGAAGATAAAAAAGCTACATAACGACATCGACATTGTCGTTAAGAATTACAGAATAAAGGGCTCTGAGATACTAGTCTGTAACATTTTATTTGACTCAATACATTTTCTTTAAACAAATAATAATATTATTTTTCAAAATTTCAAATGTTTTTATTCGTAATAGAAATTATTATTTAAAAAAATACATTTATAAGTTTCTTATTTGTTTTTATTCTTATTTACTTTCCAATGCAATCCAATTATGTAGGTATTATTGCTCATCTTGATGTTTGTCTTTATTTTATTGTTGTATTGTATAAATTTGGACTATTTATATATATAAATGCAATATAAATACACTATTTTATTATCTATTCTATAATCTAATTATATTCTAATATATTATGTATATAATTTCGATGTAAATATTTCATTCTATACGCATGTCTAAATTGATTGGAAGATGTGTCACATAATAATGAATTAAATATAGATATATTATATAATAAAACACACAAGGTATACAAAAAGTCCTGAATATTGTGAAAAGTAAACATTTCTGAGAAAAATGTTTTATCAAAAGTTGAAAATCTATTTACTGACTTATCAATTTGACCTTGTAAGGCGCCAAGGTCAAGTCAAGGTCAAATTGATTTTTTTAAACAAAACACTGAGATTTGAAAGTTATAGAACCGCCGGCATCATACGTATCATTAAAAGAAATACGAATATCATGCTAATGCTTCTGTAACTTTTAAATTTTATAACTTAAAAAGTACTGATTAAAAAGAGGCTTTATTATAATGTTTTGAAAAGCTTCTGACATCAGCTATTAGATTCTAAAATCAAAAATAGGATATTTCATTTAAACGAATCGATTTAATCTTGACTTGGCCTTAGTAGTGCCACCTCAAATTGATAAGGTCAATAAATAGATCATTTTGAACCCTACAACTTTAGCGTGAAACATTTTTCTCAGAAATGCTTACTTTTCAAGATATTTAAGGAGTCCGGGATTTTTTGTACACTCTGTACATAAAACTTAACATAATCTTTCCTACGACATTGGAATATTCTTATAAGCTTTAAATATATTCACTATAATACTTTTGATTTGTGAATATATAGAGAATAATTTCAAATATAAAAAATATTTTTTTCTTTAAAAAATTAAAAACATTAATTTTCCTTTCTGTGGTCATTCGATAATTCAACCTCTGATTTTTTGGATGGAAATATCACAAACAAAGATAGCTGAGCTATACTAAGAATGAAACCAATTGCATTCTGAAACTATTAATATATTATATTATATTATACATAATATTTTATCACAATATGTAATATATATTTTAAAAATTATCTTTTATAATTACATTGTAAATACTTACAATAATAAAAACATTGTCGATGATAAGGCCGTATAATAACCACTGAAATGAAACTAATGTACCCATAAATATAAGTGGGAATGGAAGAATTTCTGTGTTTTTCGTTTTTATAACATTTTTCTAAAAGAAAGAATAAACAATATTTTAATTATATTATCATATTATAACTATGATTAAAATACACACACATATTTTAAAATATTTAAGATATATATGTATACATTATAGAAAACAAGATCTGCTTACAAGATGCGCAAGAGGAGCTGCAATTAACAGAAGGAGAAGTACTGTAACCACAATACCAAATCTAAATTCAATATTTGCTGGATGTTCCATTTGTGCATAGACAAGAAAAATTACAACAAAGATTGTTACTTTATATATTAATTTAAGCACCTCCTTCTAAAAAGAAAAAAACATTATATAATAAAAAGTGTCGATCAATTACAAATCAAATATATTTCAATAGTGTTAGATAAAGTACCGTATTTGGTGCATAATAATAGTAAATTATCATATAAATCATATTTGTCAATAAACCAAATATATTAACATTTATCATGATAGAATCACCTAACATCCAAGCGTATCGAAGCATCAATATACACCTAAAAAATTTGTTCATTTAGTTATATATTTGAATTAACTTTTAATTTTCTTGATGTTATTATTTTATTATATATATACAGGATGACTCTTAAGTAAGGTCGGAGCTGCATTGGGGGCATAAGAGTAGGTCTAGCGGAACAAAAAAGTTTTATATTATTTTGCAATTTTCATAATAGTTAACAAGATATTAATTACTAAAAATGGCCGAATATTGGTCTTTAATAATTTTTTTCTCAAATAATATCAATTTTATAGAAAAACTGTAAGAGACAAAAATTGTTTATTTTCTTCTTGTTGGAATTAATCGTTAGAATTAATTATAGCTTCACATATTTTAGTTTGTTTCTTATATGTTATTCTTTTGTTTTGTGTTTTTCTTTTTCATCTACATTCAAATCGCATTATTCATTTAATAAATTGAATCTTATACAAAATAAATAAAGGGCAAGGTAAGAGTCAACACATTTCGTTTTTTAAAAAAAGTCATCTAATTAAAAGAATAAATTACAAATAACGAAAAATAAAATCGAAGAAAATATATAATAAAAATAAAAAATAAAAAATAAAAAAATAATAATAAATAAAAACTCAGTAATATTCATATCTCGCCCCTTTGCGATCCACATGTATACCGATTCGTACGAGGGCGTGCTGCGATTTCTTCTCATTGATCTCGGCGCGTGACTCGCTATTAAGCAAGCGTAGCAACCACGTGCATTCTTTTAATAAAAGCGATCCGTTCAAGAAGTGTCTTCATTATTGCCTGCATTCACAATCCTAGCCTCTCAATACTTCTCATAAAGTTCTGAAAATTTTTTCAGAATTTTTAATATCGTATTTTTTCATGATAATAAAAATAAGAAAATGCAATGCTAAAAAGTTGATAAAAAATTCTGAAAAAATTCTTAGAATTCTATGAGAAGAAAATAAACAGTTTTTATCTCTTATAGTTTTTTTGTAAAATTAATAATATTTGAGAAAAAAAGTATAAAAGATCAATATTCAGCCATTTTTAGTAATTAATAACTTGTTAACTATTGCGAAAATTACAAAACGATATAAGATTTTTTGTTCTCCTTGACCCACTCTATACCTCCAATGCGGTTCCGATCTTACTTAACAAACACCCTGTATATATACATATACGTATATGTGATAATTATACAGAATAGAGTTTTCTAAATTTCGACATTTTTTTGGATGCAATGTTGATAATCTTTGTTATGACTTAGATTGTGATAATAAATCGAGGGAAGTCGAAAAACATGTAATTCACCTATTTTTTAAATTATTTATTTCCAATATAGTTTCCATATTTATTACATGCGTTCGAATTTCAACGGGAAATGACTTTCACCTCACCTCTCTCCCTGCTTAGGAACGCACGACTTTTTACATAAAACGCGCGAAAAAATGTGAAAAAAATCGTTTTTTAAATATTTGACCTTGAAAATAACCTTGTCAGCAATTTTCATATCCGTAATCAAAATACAGTAGTATGTCAATCGACAAGAAAATCGGGGAGTTCACCTTTTCAGAAGTCTATCCGAAACGACCTCCAATTTTGTCTATTGCATTGCCGATTTTTATTGCCACCAATGATTACGAGCAATTTGATGGCAATACTCAGACAATAGTTTCCTCTTATAAATAGATTATGGCAATTTTTATGGCAACTGAAGGGAAACTTGTGCTAAGCAACTATTTTCTTTCTTACAATAAGGAGTTTGATTATTTGGACAAATTTTGGCCCTACAAGTTACATTTATAGTTAAATATAATTTTGGACAGAGGGATGAATGAGTTAATATCGAAATGACCTATATACAGGGTGATCCATTTTAATCCATCCAGTAGAATATCTTAAAATCTTTAAGTTTAAGACAAAAATATTTCAGACAAAAGTTTCTCAAAGAGCAAAGGAAATGATAACAGTGATTGACTTTAAGAATGTCCTTAAAATCATGTTAATATTATTTACAATTTTTTTAAATGAAACTATATTTTCTTTATCTGCAATATGGTTTCTCTAATTATTCTATATATGAAAGTGTTATAAAATGGAGATACAAGGAAACCAATAATTTACGAAGTATTTCATACTTTATTCTGGCACATATTGACATGATAATAAATTTAAATCAACAAATTAAATAACTACATTAAAGTATAGAAAGATAAACTTCCACATATGCATATGATGTAGTTTATAAAATTGAATGTAAGGACTGTGACGCATCATACGTGGGTCAAATGGGAAGCATTCTCAAAACTAGAATTAATGAGCATTGAAACCATATCAATCAAAATATAGACCAAAAATCAGTTATCATAGAACATCGCCTAGAACAATCACACGAATTTGACTGGGACAATGATAAGATATTAGAAAAAAATATTAAACAAAAGACTCATATCAGAAATGATTTTTATCCGCAAACAGAAAAATAGTTTAAATATACAATCAGATACGGATTCATTAAACGAAGCATATGACTTTTTATTTGAAAATAACTGAGTTTTCCTCTCTTCAATATCTCTGTTATTTGTGGTTTGATTCGTGATTTGTACTTTAGCTTAACATTGTTTAGATGTATTGTAACGTCCGTACAAATGACACGTATATTTTTATAAGCTCAACGAATATCATGTAAGTTTTTCAAATTAATAATTATTCACGACTTTAATGTATTATATTATTATTCTTGTCAAACATTATTTTATAATTATGTTACCAATGAGATATCGCTTATCATTGTACAGTGCGTCAGGAAACTTAATGAGTTCGTTCAAGTTGCATTGAAAAGGATCTGAAGCTGGATCGAAACGTTTGTATAAGACATTGGAACAAATAAATCTTATTACACATCGACATCATGTGATTGGCTTCAAAAGGCATCAACTTATGGACTGAAATAATAAATACGAGGGTGGATCAAATATAAATCGGAATTTTACAAATACTTTTCTTAGCCAACCACGAGCGCTCTCACAGTGTAGGTTCTTGTAGTGTAGTGTATCAGGAGTGGGGAAAACGCTTGGTGAGCTGTTTGACTCAGTCAATTCGCCAGTACAGCTATGAGTGAGCAACAGGTTCCAGCGTCCGTTGCACAACGGGTTATAATAAAATTTTTAACTAAGGAAGGCGTTAAACCGTGCGAAATTTTGACTCGATTGAAGGTTCAGTATGGGGATGATACTCTGTCTAAAACTCAAGTGTTTGATTGGGCCAAAAAGTTTAAGAGTGGACGAGAAAGTGTGGAAAATGTGAGTCATAATCGACGTCCAACGATTTGACAACGATCAAGATGTTGAGGAATTCGTGCGCAATTGGTTGGTGACTCAACTTCAAAGTTTCTACGAGCAAGGAATTAACAAGCTTCCAAACCGCTGGGAAAAATGTGTAGAGCGTGAAGGAGACTATGTAGAAAAATAATCAACAGTATTTTTGTATTGTTTTATAAATAAATAAATATTAAAAAAGAATTCCGGTTAATATTTGATTCACCCTCGTATCTCGTAAACTATTAATTTTTTTATAATACAGAACAAAAACCTTATTTGAAGAATTTAAATTAGAATAGATGTTTCTTATAGATTTTGGATAGCTAAATTCAAATTCGTAAGTCATTTTACTGCATCACGTCTAATTTTTTAGTCAATCGAAAAAAATGATGAAAAATCTGTGAAAATTAAAATATCGGGGGAAAAGTACACATAAATATGACATTAAAATGCGGTCACAGAACTGATAAGTTAACGTGTAAGAAATAAAAAATTTTACTTTATTAATGTTATTATAGCCTAACATACTATAAAACAAATCGGTAAAATAGCATTGTGCATCAAACAGTCAGGCGATCTATGTGAATTATGAAAGGAATCATTTTTTATAACTCCAAAAATAAATATTTTAATTATTACTTTAGGAAGATAAAAATTAGGTAAGTTAGATACAGAGTTGAGCAGGAAGTTTATTAGTATGAATTTCAAAAAGATCTAAAATTTCAAGCTGTGATTTGCAATTTTTGGAAGGTAAGTTTAAAAAATTACACTTAATTTATATCGCTCTATATCTGAGAGTCGACTTATCTTTATTTATGAATACAAATTTAGTTCAAATTCAATTTTACGACCCAAAATCTATAAGAAAAACCTACTCTGGTTTGAATTGTTTAAAAAAAAATTTTTTTTGTGGTTTTGTGTAATTGTTCTATGTAATTGTTCCTTAATAACTTTATAAACAAAATGGGATAAATCAATTAACGTAAAGAAAATACATAGTTGTTAAAAAAAAGTAGGCAGTGTTTTAAAAAAATGTGATCAAAATGGATAATTTTTAAAATAAGCAACTATGTACTTTTTTTGCCCCAACTCAATCGTCTCATTATTCTATTCATAAAAATATTAAGGTACGGTTATCAAAAAATTAATAGTTTATAAGATATTTGCAGAGAATGGAAAGTTACTTTTTAAAAGTAACTCGTTCCAGTTATCGTTACTTAAGAAAGTAACTTCTTTAAAATCGATGACCATCAATTACAACGAACGGGTGCCTAGAGACTTTCTAGTGTCAAGCGCTATGAGTGGCTAGTGTCCAACGAACCATCCAATCGTGTGCAAAGGGTGCGGTCCATTTACGCGCTACAAATACTTCGAAGCTTTTGACTGACCAATCGGAAAAAAGAATGTTACTAATTGACTAATCAAAAAAGATTTCAAAGCATTTGTAGCATCAAGTGGACCGTAGCCAAATTAACGATAAAAGTAATTGTAAAATTCGTTACCAAAAAAATGTAAATACGTTACATTTTTAATATTACAGTTACAAAACAAAATAACTCAGTTACCAAGAAAGTTACCAGAAAAAGTAACTTGTAATTGTAACACATACAAGTAACGCGTTACTTCCATTCCATGGATATTTAATATTTCATATCAATATGTTCAAGAATAAAGTATAAAATTTCTCGTAAATTATTAATATCTCTATTTTTGATATCTCTACCTTAATACTTATGTATATCACAATACTTTTATCATAAATATACTTATATATCACACATTAGTTAAAGGAATAATATTATATATAAAAAAAGTATATAATTCCAGTATTTAAAAAACCTGATCTTAAGGATTTTCTCAAGGTCAACCATCTTCTTTCCTTGTAATAGAGCAACTTTTGTCTGAAATATTTTTATCTTAAAGGATTTTGAGATATTCTATTGAATGGATTAAACTGAGGCACTACATATGTAGATGTTCTCATCCGCCATCTTAGTTCCACTTGATTGATAGGTTATAGTACGATTAGTGACAAAGATAGATGTTAAGAAGAACAAATTTTGACAAAAATACACTGAATCGATGCGTTTTCGCATAAAAATAAGGATTTGACAAGAAAAAAGTGTCGTTCTGTTCGGCGAATCGAGATATTGATCCATAAAGTCGACGATCATTCGAGTTAAAAAAAATCTGTTATAACAATGGTTCACTATGCTTTAAAAATATAAATTCTCTGCTAAAGTAGTGAATTTGTATTTTAAAAGCAGTGAATTTATGTTTTTAATGCAGTAAACCACTGTTATGACAGATTTTCTTAGTTGTCGACTTTAAGAATTAATATCTCGGTTTATGGAGCAGAGCAACACCTTTTTCTGGTCAAATCTTTATTTTTACTTTTGATGCGAAAACGCATCAATTCAGTATATTTCTATCAAAATTTGAGGCGAGCAGCCTCTTCCTAATTAACATTTACCTTTGTTATTAATCGTATTACAACGATCAAGTGGAACCAAAATGGCAGATGAGAATACCTATATATGTAGTGCTTTAACCAAACTGTACCTACATACTTTACACACGCACGCACGCACGCACCGTATATATTACACATATAGAAGCATAAATTAGATCGTGCAACTTCTATACAATGTAAGGTCTTCTATGAAAAAAATTAAGTAAACATTGTTATGTCCAAACTTCGAATACAAAGACCGAAATTAAGATCATAATGAGCTTAATATTTCTCACTAGGAAGATATATCAAGATGAATGATAATGTCTCAATAGTTTAATTTTTAGCGCCTCATTTAGATAAAATTTACACATAAAAAGTTTTTTATTTAAAAAAAAATCATAGATGCATCTCGAAGAGAGAACTCGACTCTTCTATTTGCTTTCTACAGAATATTGAGCTATTCGTTTTCTATGAACAATCAAAGTAAAAAAAATGCTTTTTGTTTCAATGTTGAATAATTTGATGAAAGAAAATCATATACAATGCAAATTGAAGATAAAGAAAACGTTTACACGGCTCAATTTATGTCAAAGTTAAAACATGTTATATCTACTAACGTTAGATGTTATGTAAATGCTATTTTACGATAAAATTATTAATTATTATCAATGTAATAATTTCGTCGTAAATTGGGCCGTGTAAACATAATAAAAGATTCATTCTTACGAAAATTGAGAACTGTTTTCGTATACTATTTTTTCAATTTACACCATACAATCTTATAAAATTCGTAAAAAATTTTTAGATTTGATGGACCTCTAAATGTATTCATGTAGATTGTAACTCTGTAAAAAATCAGATCATCATCTAAACTACCAATATGAAAAGTATTATAGAAATTCCAACCTTGAAAATGTTTTAAAATCCTTTTTTAATTATCTGATTTTGATGATCATTTTTTACAAAGTTACATTCTCGAAACTGGCTTATATTTGGCAGATAAAATATGTAATTCTTTAATTTTTTTGGCGTAATGTAATAATTTATATATACTTACAATCCTATCGTACCAAGAAAAGGCATTGGATCAACTCCTCTAGCAGAACCTTTCTTATGTATATTGCGACATATAAATCTGTAAATTACAAAAATATAAATTATACATAAACAAAATATTATTACTTAATGATTAAATTCATTTTTGAAACAATAAACAACAGAATCAAATGCTTTCTAAGAAGGAGGACAGTATCGCATAATGAGAGGAAGGACGAGTGTCCCCATCGAGGTTCACAGTTCTTTTTATTCCATCATTAACGGATAAATTAAAAAAATTTAATAGAGATAACATCAAGATTTCTTTCTATAGTATGAACAAATTAAGAAAATACATTAAAGTACATAAAGATCCTCAACATCATTTTTCAAAAAATAATGTTGTTTATAAAATCGATTGTGTTAAATGTGACGCAACATACGTAGGATAGACTGGTAGAAAATTGAAGACAAGAATTAATGAACACAAAAATCCGGTAGAACACGTCCACTCGATCAGTGATAACTGAGCATAGATTGCAGCACGGACATAACTTTGATTGGGACAATATTAAAATTTTAGACGAAGAACTTTGTTATAATAAGCGTTTAATCTCCGAATTGTTAAATTAAAAAACAAAAAAATAGTCTAAACCTACAAACAGATACCGAGAGTGTACATAAAGCTTATGTACTGTTAATAAACAAAATCTGATATTGCAATATCAAGATTATTTTATTCGTTAGTCAGTATTCGTCTGTCGTGATGGTAACATATATATTTACCAAGTGTCTCATTTTTAATATCTTTTTATATAATATTTATTATTTATATACGTCTTTAATTTTATGACTAATTATTTTACTATAGATTAACACACTGACGCTTAGTAATTTAGAAATTGACGAGTATCTTCTCGATATGCAAAATTTTACTTTATGGCCAGCCAGTGGGTTATTTTAATCAGAGTGACGATTTTACTCGAATTTTTTATTATTCTCTTAATTTATTTCCAACTTGACTTGTTACCAGACCGAAAAATTTCAAACAACCGTTCGTCCAACCGTTTGCGAGTGATTTCCATTTTTGAGCAAAGCATCTCACTGGTCATCATCACTATGTGTATAATTTGTCTATCTATTCGACTGCTCTCATCCAATGTAACATCTCCTATATGCATATCTGAAGAAGGTTCAATCGTGAGACCGAAATATGTTAAATTTTTAATTAATTATAAAATATTATATTATACATACTTTCTTTTGATTTTTCATGTTTTAAAATACTTCTTTATATTTGACTTTTATGTGCTCTTTATTCTCTCGTTATTGTACATTACGCTATTCTAATGAAAAACTTTTTCTGAATTGTAATGAATAAATATAAAATGTTACCGAAATTATATTGAATAATGATAAACTTTATATTGAAATCTATATCAATTGACCCACTTTCATTACATTTCATTAAGATTTTATTATAATTTATTAGTATTTTATAAATAATTCAATACAAAATATTATTATACGAGGTGTGATCAAAAAGTAAGGTGACTTTTCATTTTTATAAAAAAATATTCATTTATTCATCCAAAATTATGTTATCCCCTTCAAAATAATCCCCCTCTGATACAATGCACTTGTGCCAGCGCTTTTTCCAGTCGTCAAAACACTTCTGAAATGCACTTTTGGGTATTGCCTTGAGCTCCTCCAGCGATGCAGCCTTAATCTCCTCAATCGTCGCAAATCTTCGTCCTTTCATGGGCCTTTTCAATTTTGGGAAGAGGAAAAAGTCGCAGGGGGCCAAGTCTGGTGAATACGGTGGCTGAGGCATGATGATAGTATTGTTTTTGGCCAAAAAACTACTCACTAGTAACGACGTTTTGGAACGCAGTTTTGGAACGAATTTCGCTGATACACGTGTCATACCCAAAACATCCGTTAAAATTGATTGGCATGAGCCAAACGATATGTTAAGATCATCAGCTATTTCTCTAATCGTGATTCGACGATTTTTCAACACAATTTCTTTCACTTCCTGAACATTTTCGTCGGTTTTTGACGTGCTGGGGCGTCCAGAACAAGGTTCATCGTTAACATTTTCTCGGCCCTCTTGGAATAACTTATACCATTTATAAACATTTTTTTTGCTCAAAGTTGACTCACCGTTCGCCACTGTCAACATTTCAAGAGTTTTTGAACACTTAATACCATTTTTTACACAAAAATTAATACAAACTCTCTGCTCCATTATTTTCAAAAGCAAAAAATCACCGAGCACGCAAACACGAGTCTAACCTTTATGCCTCTCACATAAAAACAACACATGCTATATAGTCAAAACTGTGAACATATGATCGTGACGATGTACCAACACAACAAAAAAAAATTTTTTTAATTAAAGTGTACAGAGCGCGCGAAATTCAAAAAGTCACCTTACTTTTTGATCACACCTCGTATTTAGTGTTGGTACAGAAATACAATACATATACTAGAATACATGCCAAAATCATGTATAAACGTTAATTTAACATGTCTGCAGATAATCTGAGCTTCGGTTATATAGACTTGATTATATAGAGCAGTGCTCACAAAGATTGCACATTTCGGGCCGATTCCGGCGCGCTACCGCTCGAAGCTCGACGGCCGAGCCACCCGGCGCTCACGTGACGCTCTGGCTCAGGAGCGTCTCTGTAACTTAAATGTGCGAAGGTCGTACCAAATAAATAACTATAATAGGCTAATGAGAGTTAGCATTGATAAACGGCGCAATTATTTAATGAACAATCAATAATTAGAAATTGGATTGATTATCTTCTTTATTTTGAACATTTCAACTCTCTTTGGAGTCCTTCTCAGTAAGAATGATATGAGAATAATTAGCTCACATATCCATAATGTTTAAGTCACTCGCAAATTGACAAAGATGCAGCGTTGTTAATCTGACATTTAAAAAAAAAACAATATTATTTGACAACAATCTTATTAGAGTGATATAAACGTAAACAATTTAAATGACTTACCATCACGGAACATGAAGAATGCACTGAAGCTTTGTTGAACATATTAAAACTTAAAAAGTAGAATTGTTAAAATCAAATATAAAGATCATACATTTTTGTACGACGACGTATCACACAGATATGAACTATTCTCGAAATAAAAGATCACACAGTAAACATTAAGGCAAATTTGCAATTACAAAGAACACAATACATATATATTGTTGTTAAATCAAACCAATAAAAATCGCAATAAATTATTGTATAAAAATTAAAAACTGTTAACATTATTAAAATTGTAAAATAAAGAACTAAATAATAAAAAAAGGAGAAAGAAAAAAAAGGAAGAAAGAAAAAATGCAATATAAAACATATTTCGTTTAAAGTTATTATATTTTCGTCAACCAATAAAAACTTTTGTCAAGATAAATTAATAACTAAAAATCTCAAAAGGTTGCTAAATAAGTCAGGAGAAATTTTCAAGCATCGCTGCATAGATATGATACAATCCTTCTGTATCTGAACGTAAATTAAGGCCATTCTTTTGCATGTGTATAAGTGCCATTTCTGAAATCAATCTTTTGTTTAAAAATTTCTCCTTGTCTAAAATTTGAACGTTCTCCCAATCGAAGTCATGTAAAAATTTAATACGATGTTCAGTGATTACAGAGTGAATGTCAGTGTTCCAATTTATATGTCTACGATGTTCAAATATTCCGCTGGAAAGTTTCCTGCATGCTTGTCTCACAGATGCATCGCATTGTTTACAACCAATCTTATAGACCACGTTTTTATTATCAAATTTTGGGAGAACGTCCTTTTGTATTTTTATAAAACTATTTAATTTATTATCGCTGAAAAACGCTAATTTTATGCCGGTGTCTTTACAAATCAACGAAAATTTCTCTGACATAGAATCAATATATGACAACAAAAACCAAGATATACAATCATTATCAGTATCGTCATTATCAGTATCATTGTTTGTGGCACTATTACTAAGAAATTTTTTGTTATACTAATATTTTAGACGACTATTGATCATGTCAAAAATAAATTCTGCCGGACAGACATTATTTAGTAATGTACAAATAAAGAACTTAATGTTGTCACAGTGAAATTTTTGATCTGAGAGTAACATAGATTCTGTCCAACATACCCATTATGAACTTTTTTTATGAGAAATAGGATGTGACGATAGTTCAGGTACCGTTCTAAGAATGTTGGGTTGTGATACCAATCTAACTCTAAATAGTTATTGTTGTTAATAATGGTTACATCTAAGAAATTAATACTATTGCCTTCCACTTCCAAGATGAATTGCAATCTCGGATGAAACGAATTAAAAGTTGTCAAAATAAAATCAATTATATCAGACGGGACAGCCATCATGATATCATCAACATATCTAAAGTAAAATGATACTTGCTAATAACCTAACATTGCTATTGCTTTAGTTTCTAAATCTTGCATGATTAGATCTGCTATAATAGGAGATAAGAGCGATCCCATTGGTGTGCCAAAGTTTTGTTTGTATATCTTCCCATTAAAAATGAAATACATCAAGTTAAGTACTAATTCAAGTGCTGTAAAAAATTCCTTTTCCGGAATAGTCGTTGATTTTTTTTATATAATTCCATCTATTAGCCACATTCTCAATCGCTAAATCTAATAGAATGTTAGTGAACAAAGAGAGGACATCAAGAGAAATTAAAGAAAAATGATTTTCCAACTGCCTACCTCTTAACTTCTGTGCAAGATGAAAACTATTTTCAATTTCACTGAAGGGTTTAGGGGATTTTTCAGAAATAATAACGTGTAGAAATAAAGCCAATATAAAGAATCAATTGAAGAAATGATGATCCTAAATGGACAATTAGGTTTATGCACTTTTGGAAGTGCATAATCTTTTTATTCTATTTTAATGTCAAAATGGATTCTATTTTAATGTCAAAATGATTATTGGAACAAGAATTATCCCCGTGGACAGACAATTGATATTGAGCATCTTGGAAATCCGAGGCAACAGTACAAATCTGATGCGGCTGATTATTCGATAATGGATTGGAGATATATCATTATAAATTTTTTTTTTATT